TCATATGGACAGCCAAACTCTTACCGGTTGTAGATTAATTTCACCAGAAAACTGTCGTCATAACAGAAGCATTAAACCGTAAAAATTAGGCATGACGTGAGCTGCGCATAGGCTAGCAGACAAATGAACAAACACACACAGATTGCAATATGCTACTACCTTGTAAGGGCGTTCTCCAAACGAGAATACCTCCCAGAGGGTAATGCCATAGCTCCACACGTCGGATTTCGAATCGAAGCGGAAGTAGTAGATGCATTCGGGAGCGTACCATTTGAGGGGCCATTTACCAGCGCTGGCAGCCTATATAGTGACAAATAAAGGCTTCAAATTAACTAAAACCATACTAAGAAGAATGTCCAATTTAAGAAACCTACTGAACAGACATCAGTAGATGTTTTGGTAAAACAAAATGAAACACGACACGATGGTTCATCAGTCGTGGGCTTTTAAATAGACTGATGCCCTGTATATATTTTTTGTTCGCAGAAGGAAAACCATTTCAGATATACATTACACGAAAGCGAATCATTAGCAGCTGTGAGATCATAACTAAATTTAGGACCTGACGCAGTGAACGTAATCGGAGTGTTACTAATTGTCCGAAATGGACTGTTAGGAAGTTTACATGTTGCTAGGACCATAAAGTTGAAGACTCCCATTGCAGGAACGAATTGCGAAAACGAAGATGAAGAAAGCTTGATTGTTCAAGCGGAGGGAACCATAGATTGGCAACCCAGAGGCAGGAACAAAGGAACACACTAACACGTGGTGATTCATAATTAGACATATTGCCAGGCGCATGATGCATTCTGACTACCAGAGATGATGGCCCGACACCACTGACATTTTTGATGACAAATCAAACAAATGACTAGTTTATATCAAACCCGTCTACCAGGCGATGCGTGGCCTGTGCAATAAAGACACAAAACTGCCACCTGTGATAGTTCGTCAGGGTCTTATGGTCGTCTATGCACGAACCAAGCACGCGTCCAATCTGTTCTGGGTAGTTTAGGGGACAAAGGGCCACTTGTGATAAGCCGCCATCCCGGCACCTAAGAAAACGACCTCGAATTTAAACGCACAGCCCCGAAGATAATTACCCATGACACTGCACGACTAGTCAGGAATTGACTGAAACCTGGGCCTCCGGTGGGAACACATATCAATTATTAGCCTTGTGAAAACACAAAATCGATTGGCCCAAATTGGCAGGTATCAATACAGGATGGTTACGTCCTGAAAGACAGATCGGTGTACAACCAAATACTACAGTAGATCGATGTATCGATATGGCACCGGCACACTGAGGACTATACAGTTCCCTCCTGCATGGTCTCACTGGCGTCAGATTGGCCACTTATCGCTATACCTCTTGCTTGTTTGTTGTTACCGCTCTCAGTTCTGATGATAGATTCTAGTAAGCGTTCGAAAATTCAGACGAATAAATTCATAAATCCAGCTAGCAAACAGACTTTTTCCTCTTTTTAACTTACACATACAACGCAATACGAACGTTCGCCTCGGTTACTGAATGTTTATTGTAGCGGCAGCCACAATAGCAAAACATTACTGAGCAACGATTCCTTATAGGTAACGCCAGATTAACAGAAAACCCCACGTTTGTATAATACGAGACCGGTGGAAAAAGGTGTTAAATGGGTGGGTCATACCAGGCGAAAGAAAAAAAAGTAGAGCGTATAAACTTTAAATATCCGGAATAATTATTCAAATAACCTAATGTTTGGCGCGCGATAATTAAAATGTGAAATTGGACCAATAAGAAACAAAAAGTCCGCACCGCAAGTCTGCCTGTTGTAACAGTGATACCTCTATGCTGTTGTCGTCTAATTACGCCCGGTTTGCATCCCCACAACAAGAATGACGTTAAAGTGGAAGCCACACAGAGGAGAGTTTAATGTGTAAAAAAATCTGAAGTTGCTGCCTCGGGGGACAATTGTGCCGCTGGCGTTGTCCAGGGCTAAATGTCCCACCACGGGGCGATGCTCGGGCCTAAGGCGGACTGGTGGTGTCCTTGTCAGTCCCTGTTGCAGCTCACTATCTCAGATGTGACAGTTTCTTATATAGGATCGTCAAGCGCGATCGCTCGTGGAATAGGGTCACCTGCCGTGTGGCGCACCTAAGCGACTCTTGAGGAACTGCAACTAGATGGGCACGCACGTGGGCTCGCGTGCGTGTGCGTCCGTGTATGTGAATACGAGGGAATATCGGTTTAAGGACACCGCGAGGGGACAGTCACAGCGAAGACACAAGACCTTGTGGCAGACCGCATTGACAAAGCAATCATTGTGGCAGCCGGCCACAGGCACGAAGCCTCAGGGCAGCCTGGAATTCGGTTCGGTTAGGTTTCTTACACTGCCTTCCTATCGGGACTGCTTGGCTCAGTGCTACAGTCATCCTCCGCTTGCCTATTATCATCAAAAACAGCTGTGCAAGTCAGAATCCAGGCCTTTCTCCACATTCATTTGAACCAGAGGCGGCTGCAATTACGGCCCTGAAAAACCAAAAGATCGATATGAAGGACAGCTCATGCACGGCCGTCGGCGCGCGTGTTCGTGTGAGCGAGCTAAGTGGAAACCGAGTATAGAATGCACGCAAGTGTCAAAGAAAGGTGGGAGGGAAGGAAGGAGGGCGTGAGCGCAGCGGAGCCCAGTAAACTTGACTGACCATCGTCAACCGGCTAGCTAGCCGTAACTGCCAGGACAACACGCGATTAATCAAACTAATAGTAGCCACAGGACGATAAGGATTTCCGTGTGGGGAGTGCAATCGACTGGTACATGTTGAATACGTACACAAGAAAGACGGCTTTCTAGGCTTACTGTAAACATATTGTCCAATAGTATTTTGAATATAACTGGCAAGAAATAGGATAGTCTGCAAAAAAACGAGGGG